TCTCAGGGCCAAGCTTATCGGCGGGGTAGATTTTGTTGGCTATTCAATACGCAAACCTATCAGTTGCTGTCAGTGAAATGTTTAAAAAAAAAATGCAGCCAAAACGAAGACATCCAAGTTAATCAAAGTCTGTATGATAGCTATCATTCAAACAAATTAATGACACTGTTCTACTTCATAATCTTTATTCAGTATTGGTTAAGAGTTCTATTAGCTCCAATTAGCCAGACAAAGCACAAGTGTTGTCGATACGTTAAGCTGTATAGCTATCAACTGTTCGGATCTATTAGAGCTATATAGACGTCGTATTCCGTGATAGTTGACTTATAAGGATAGTTCGTACTATCAGATTGACTGTCGGTGAACCTAGACCACGAATTCTGAACACCGTGAAACGGATCAGTTATCGACTTCTACAAACTCATCAGGATCTAGTTAAATCAAGCTTACTTGGCCAAAATATATTCAGTCAAGTTTTTGAAATTGAAGTTCTTGGCAATATTTAAATCTAAATCAACTTTTTTGAACAGTTTATCTGATGCTGACCATTTTGAATCCCAGGTCCTGTATGTTTGGTTTCCCAATTTAATAATTTTGACAATATCAGCTATTCAAAATTTATCTTGTGATTTCATTAAGCTACCAATGAGGGCGGATTGATCGTGTCCTGATCATTTAACTGTTATAATGGACTGAGGAGAGATAGCGGGTATATATACTACTCCGTCACACCATCCACGTATGTAGTCGATCTCCTGTCCAGTAAACCAGAGACATTCCAAGTCGTTTATGTAGTAGTAATGGTAGCTAGCACCATTTGCCATATCCTTCATGCGGAGCCATTTTAAGTTATCAAATATTTGGTATACCCAGGTATGTCCTCAGAAATTCCTATCGTGAAAATGTCAACGTCTCATTAAGTCTATGCTGTATCTAAACACTTATATTCAACAGCAGAAGTTTATTATGAACTTTCACATCGTACATACGCCAAAATCTGGGGTACACAGTTGTAATATCATGAATTCCTCTTCATGTCAACTTCAGCATGTACACTGAAATGTCCTCTACATTTTCCATTTTTTTCCATTCAACAAATTCATAGCCTTGATGAAGAGTTTTTACATCCATACAGGTGACATGTGTCAACACATCCAAATGTAAACAAATCAAAAATTCCGCACAGTTTGTCCATCACATTTTGTGCCAAATAAAAAAAAATTGAAGTCTTTGGTCAAAAGTTTTCAATGTGTATGCACAAGAAAATAAGAATCTTAGGTGCCCACAGTTTACTGGGAGGAAAAGATGTTGTCCACTGCGATTCTTTTTTCCATATATATGTGTTAGAAGTTGAAATCATTTGGTTAAACTATTCAATGATTCTGTCCACTTTTGTTGTAGTCCAATTCGTCCGATGTGAATTGTTGAAGTAACTTGCTTTGTACACATCTCGTGGACAATGAGAGGTTGTTCTACCCGGTACTATTGCTGGCCCACAGACCATCACTGTCATGGAGAGGCTTGCACACAGAAACCTTTAACACCAATACCGAGTCTAACAAACTGAATCAACAACAGGTCAGAACTTTCACCACATAAAATCTATACTATTGACAAAGCACCTTGCTGGTCCAATGTTAGACCCGCCTACATTTTGACGGTAAGATTGTAAAAGTATACATGGTCACCTAATGGTGGCCAACCCGACACTATAAAACTGGAATGGTCAACGGTCACCTGATGGTGGCCAAAGTGGTACAGTAAAACTGGACAGTCAATGGTCACCTAATGGTGGCCAAAGTGGCACAATAAAACTGGACAGTCAATGGTCACTTGGGGTCACAGTGACATAATAAAGCTGGTGTTTTATTTTTCCAAGTATAGAAAATTTAACTGACTTCAGATTTTGAATCTTTGAACGTTCGATCAGTTCTATTCCTAACACTTAATGCTGAAGACACTTAATACCAACTCTGGGACGTGTTGCCATCTATGAATTTTACATTCTTTCAACTCAGTCTCCAAAAAAACCCATATTAATTAATTTTCTTCACAGTAATACATCCAGTACCATCAGCATGAAGGTATTTTGTAACAAAAACATTGTGTTTCTCATGAGAAACTGACTACAAGTTTTACATTCTGTTTGACTAACACATGATTCAGCCATCTACTCCTCACATTTGGCCAGGATTGTTTGTTTCTTCTTGAAAAAAAATATGTATGAAGTGAAGAGATCTGTAGTGACCAGTGATAACACAGGTATAGCTCTATACACTCCGTAAGTCACCTGAAACTGTGACCATAGTGACCACAGATTTCATAATTTAATGTAACATGTCATGACCACAAAAAGACTCGGGATCCAATAATCAAACATCACTTTATAAACATTAGTACAACCCCAAAAATGGTCACGATTCAATAATCCATTATCCAGAAGCACTTTATAGATGTAACAGAAAGTGTTCACAATCCGTTGAAGATTCAGATGCTCTGTCCACGACACATGCACACCTGTTGTATGTATATTGTTCAGTTTGAAATGTCCTCAATATATGTAAATCCTTCGGAGGTCAAGTATTATAATGTCATTGTTCAAACATGTTGATTTCTCTCCTGACCCTGACTGGGAAACACTTTCTCTGTTCCTTATAAATATATTTAATATATTATGCTTGGACTCGAATTATAAAATATCTTCCTCAATAAATGATCATTTAAATCCTTGTGCTGATGGTGAAAACTGGGTAGGCAAACTTTTATGACAATCCAGAATAACAATAGGTATCGTAAATATTGATCAACACTTTGGTCACTACTGGTCAATTTCCTTTCATTGTGTACGTCAATATATGTAAAGTTATTCCACAGTCAGACGGATCCCACAGTAGCCAGTGTGGGTTGTTGGTAACGTGGATCCATGTCAAGATTGTGGACATGTATGTAAATGAAGTCGTTTATTGGATATTTCTTCCACCAATGTACAATAACATCACTGACATTTACGTAGTGAGTGAGAAATTGTGTTGTTGGTTTTTAACGCCATCGTAAACCTTAACTCTAGGTGTGGAAGTTGTCGTACACAGAGGTTAATATATAGATCGACAGGTTTCACCACATGTTTGTATAACTAAGTATAATTTCTCTAAATAAAATACATATTATTTTTCAACCACCTAACCCAAGCCTCATTTGTTTTTAAAACTTTGGAAGTAAATTACTCTTTCCTCTACATGAATTGATCTGACACTACATGGTGTGACTAGCTCTATTGACATACCGTTGTTTTGTCAACACAGGGGCTTGGCATTATTCCCGGCAAGTAAAATTAATTACAAATTAAATTTTTCTTCCACCTGCTTCTGTTTTTTTCTCTCCTCATGCAGAGCAGTAATACCATAAATATCTAATTTCATCAATGAAGGAAGTCCCACCAGGGCCAAGATGCTAAACAATTGATTAGCTTAATCAGTGATTAGCTCAAATTTTAATGTCTGTGTATCTTTAAAACACAACCATTGAATTAGTTACAACTTTCCAGATAGCAAATATTTAGTAGAGTGAATTTACATTGAAAAAATTGTGAGAATTTACCTTGTATATTGACGAAATTATTGAAGGTTGAAAAATGTTGTTAAACAGTTATTAAGCTGACCACCTTTTGGACAACTGGGCCCAGTATGTTTTTCTTGATAGCTTCCCCGTTAGGCCTAAGGCCATTATTGCACCAATGCTGGTCATTTTTCTTCGTCATTCTTGATTAGGTATTTGACCACATTATTATTCTTATAGACCTTGTATAATCGAGTACTGTAAATCTCAAATATTTTGAGGATACACTATTTTTCACGATTTTGCTTTAAAGGACTCATTCAAGAAGATTTTAAATTTAACGGGGTATGAATTTTACAATAATTCCTGAGAGTCTAAGGCTGTATGGTAGGATGGTGAAGACCTACTTGGTTTCTCCAGTAAAACTGTATAAAACAGTGTCAACATTTACTTGATTTCTCCTATAGATATTAAGGGTTACATGGCTAGGTATTAAGACCTGACCTGTGTCTCCAGTTGTTATTAAGGGTTACCTGGTTCCTCCAGTAGATATTAAGGGTTACCTGGTTAGGTATTAAGATTTAACCTGGTTCCCCCAGTATATATTAAGGGTTCCCTGATTTCCCAGTAGACATTAAGGGTTACCTGGTTTCTGCAGTAGATGTTAAGGGTTACATGGCTAGGTATTAAGGCTTAATCTGGTTCCCTGAGTAGATCGTAAGGGTTCCCTGGTCCCCCAGTAGACATTAAGGGTTCCCTGGTTCCCCAGTAGACATTAAGGGTTCCCTGGTTTCTCCAGTAGACATTAAGGGTTCCCCCAGTAGATAGCAAGGGCTACCTGGTTCCCCCAGTAGATATTAAGGGTTACCTGGTTTCTCCTGTAGATGTTAAGGGTTACCTGGTTTCTCCTGTAGATATTAAGGGTTACAGGGCTAGGTATTAAGGCTTAACCTGGTTTCTCCAGTATATATTAAGGGTTACCTGGTTTCTCTTGTAGATGTTAAGGGTTACATGGCTAGGTACTAAGGCTTAACCTGGTTTCTCCAGTATATATTAAGGGTTACCTGGTTTCTCTTGTAGATATTAAGGGTTACATGGCTAGGTAGTAAGGCTTAACCTGGTTTCTCCAGTATAAATTAAGGGTTACATGGTTTCTCCAGTATAAATTAAGGGTTATGTAACAGGGTATTAAGGCTTAACACTGGTTTCCCCCAGTAGATATTTAAGGTTACATTAACAGGTGTTCAAAATAAACTGGTTTCTCCAGTAGATATTCAGGGTTTTTCAGTAATATCTAAAGTCTTACCTGGTTCTCCCCAGTAGAGTTATAAGGCTAGGTGTTCAAACTTAATTACCTGGTTATCTAGTAGAGTAATGTATGGTAGGGTGTTATGACTTACCTGGTGTCCCTCAGTAGAGTTACATGGTAGAGAATTAAGACTTACCTGGTTTCCCCCAGTAGAGACAGCAGCCTTGACTGAGGGAGCTGCGACGTTGTGATGTGTGACACAGGGCCATAGAGCTTTTCCGCGTTCACAATATCGGAGGCTGACACCTGCAAGGAACACCCAAACATAAAAACAATTCATTTGCTTAAAATATCATCTCAATTTAAACCCTGCTATTATAGATTTTACACTATACAGGCAATACAAAACCTACCCTGTAGATTTTCATACGAAAATCTATCTCTGTTTCTTCCCTTACATGCATACATGTAGTTGTATACGTGAAATCTACCGCATATGTCGTGAAACGAAATCACGCATAAAGTAATATGAACACAAAAACAACATTTATTTATCATGAGTACATTCAATGTGTATAATAACAGTGGTATTATTGTGTAGTACTGGAGTGATTTGTACTAAAGAGTCAAACAAAACCAGGATACCACACACAAGTGTCCCCACACTTCAATGGCTTAGCGCTGGCGATCAAATCGTTTCTCAGGAGATATTACACATTGATTATGTCATTGTACGGTCCTACTGTAAAATACACAATAGTCCACATTCTGGTAATCTTGATATGTGCCCGGTAAGGGGTTTGTACATTTTGTGTGGTGTGTTCTATTGAAGAAAGGTTTAAATGTCTGTTAAAAGCCAGTTAACATAAATTTGTCAACTGTTTACTGCTATTGGCTGTCTCCCATTATCCCAGCTATTAGTTCGTCTTTAGAACATGATAATGTACCACAGTATGGAAATAAAATCCCAGGCTAAGAAACACCTGGGAACCGCTTATTATCAATTACTGAAGTGACAGTTTAGAGCTAAGTCATGCCAAGCTTTGTAAACTTATGTATACATTAAAATTAAATTATATTTAATGATAATTTCTTAATTATTGAAATTAAAACTTAAATTATACATTCTTAATTAGATACATGATGATCTCTTTCAAGGAAAATATCATTTCAGACCTTATGATATTTGAGCTGCAATTGAAAAACTTCAATTTGATAATTTGACAGAAAGATTTTTGAAGCTAACTGTACCTTGTGCATATGAGTTCTGTATGAAATAAAATTACACTATTTACTGCTGATCGATAGACAGAGTGTCATTTTATATTTACATTGAAAGAGATAGACCCTTGAAAGTGATATAAACGATATTATTTCAACAAATAATCAAAAGGACAGTTGTTAGTTTCAAACTTCATAGCTATCGTTTATTTGTTAACCTTATAATAGAAAGAATCCACATGGAAAACCATATATATTTTATTTTACTCATGGGTTTATCTCATAGTCAATTCTGCTGTTCTACATAAAGGTGAACTTTCTAACTCTCTGTGACTTTATTGTTGATATGTCATTAACTCATTTACCCTTGAAATTTCATAATGAACTCTTTCAAACTTTGAATTGGAAGAGTTCAAATGTGTCTTCAGTGTGAATGAGTTTAAGATTTTCAAGGCAGATTTACTAGGACGCTCACAGTAAAGGTTTTCCTACCCAAATCAATAGCACAAATATTGTGCCAAAATTATACAAAGATATTCAAGATGCATTGATGTCAAGCTTTTTACTCACCTCAATATCATTATTATTTTTGTAAAGGTCTATTGATGTCAAGCTTTTCACTCCCCTAGATATCATTAATTTTTATGTAAAGGTCTAGTAATGTCAAGCTTTTCACTCCCCCAGATGTCATTGATTTTTATGTAAAGGATTATTGATGTCAAGCCTTCCACTCACCTCGATATCATTAAGTTTTTTATGTAAAGGTATATTGATGTCAAGCTTTTTACTCACCTCAATATCATATTTTTTTATGTAAAGGTATATTGATGTCAAGCTTTTTACTCACCTCGATATCATTAATTTTTTTGAGAGCGAAATGTGCCAGCCTGAAGATAACATACACCCGCCACAAGGTAAACTTGGTGACCGGGTTCCCATCCAAGTCTATTGTCAGGTTGTCAAGGCGACGAATATTTGATAGGGCGTTGATTTGTGATAGGCTCTTGATATTAGTCGCACTAAATGTTATTGTCTGAAAATGCATTGGAAAAAAGTTAATGTTTTGATGACTCGTATCAATCTAAAGAAATTTAGAAGCATTGAAAATTGTAGAAATGAAGGAAAAATTGTCTTCAAATGATGAAAAGATAATAATTTCATAAAATTGAAAAACATACTGTTATTATCCTGTAAATGAAGAAATAAAATCCTATATGTTACTATCCTGCCAGTGAAGGAACACAACCCTATATCATCTAAAAGAGAAATAATATTTTCATCAAAAGAAAAATGAAATATGATCTTCCGGCATGGTTTTGCTGTACTACTACAAGACATACAAGCTTTTCGACTATAAGTATATATATATATTGCCTAATTATAAACAATAAGAGAACTAAGTCTAAGATACTTGTAGACAGCAAAGTCGAATCCTCCCCTACCTTGGTGAAGAACGTAACACCCTGTGTCTGATCAATGTTTACATACATAATGAGAATTACTATTCTTTTCAAGTGTGCAGACAACCCTGTAACATAGATTGATTTTCTAATTAATACAACCAGATACCTAATTGATTTTTCTTTCCCTGTTGTTGAAACCAAAGCTGAATCTAGAATATTGAATACCAACAGTGTGCCCAGCAGACTAGTAATACATATGTACTTCAGACTGGATTTGTGACTAAATGAAAACTAGGTAATATATATACTTCACCTTGAAACACAGTTGAGACTTGGAAATGGAAACAACACTAAATAAATGGATATTAAACCAAGAAACAGTAAATTTGAACACAAATCCTGGGTGCCCAGCAAACACTTGCTGTACTTCCTTAAGAACCAATCTCCACTAAGGGACATTCCAGCAATCAGATCAGGTTTGTCCCAAAGGAATGACCAATTAGACAATAAGCCAGACATTATTTGTTGAAAGAAGGAGAGAAAAAAAATCAAAGTTTGGCTGGTTCCTCTGTGCTACCCTCCCATATTACCTGGTTTACTTGTACTACTAGTCAACTATACAATATACAGAAACAATAGGGCCATAGTAAGGATTGTATACTGGGGAATTGTCGCTGCAGTTTAATTATTTTGGCTTTTTCACCTGCGGTAATGAGGGCGAATTGATCATTAAAGCGAACAACATTTAACAACATAATATGCATAGTAATAAAATGCAAAGGGCAAAATTAACACCTGGCTAACGTGGAAATGGTCTGTTGAAATGAGTTGTTAAGGGGGAGACGGGTACTAATTCCTTAGGTGTGATTTTTAAGGGGGATATTAACAGGAATGGGAAATTAGACGTGTTAAAAGGGCTTGGTCTGTGGATAAAAGTTATTTCGGAGATTGCGACCTTTAAATGTCCTTATAGAATTTGAAATATTTCTGACCGTGAACAGGCCCTATAATAAACAATCCAGTTACATGTTTTGAAAATGACTTTGACTTTCTCTTCAGCTAATATGGTAAATAAAATCATGTCAGAACGACTCTGTACTCACACATCCATAGCTAACAGAACATGTCCTTCGGAAGTTGAAATTATTCCCAAAATCCAATGTTTGTAATGATACAAATTCCTCTCATTTTCCGACCCAATCATAGAAATGTATAGTGAAACTACAGAGCTGTACACGATGTAAGTGGATTAGATTTTATGGTCAAATGATTAACGGTTAAACCAGGCTACTAATCTGGGAACTCTTTTGTGTAACGACAGGAATTAACAGTACAGACCTCTGACATGTCGTGTCATAGGCTACCTATTGTCAAACAGCAGAACTCTCACTCAGATCTGTGCTGGGCTACTTTTTAATATGTGTACCGGGAGTACCTTGTGAAGGTAGGAAATCGATGTAAGTGGATTATTTTACACAAATGTCAATTCAACTGTAACGGAACTGGACTGGGTGGATCGGTGGCGACCAGGAACTAGCTCAATTGGTTAGAGTGTCGGTCTAGAGTTCGGAAGGTCCTGGGTTCAAACCCTGGTCTGACAGTGCATTTTTCCTCTTCTGTTACATTTGGCGCTCATCGAAATATATCCACAGAAAGTGGTATAGGGTCCCGTGTGTCTTCGGGGTCGAAGACTTTGTTAAAGGAGGGAGGGATGTAGTGGAACAGGACTGGGTCGATTGTCGGTGACCAGGTGGCTTAATTGGTTAAAGCGTTCATTTACAGTTCGGAGGGTCCCGGTTCGAACCCCATTCTGGCCATGCATTTTTCCTCTCCTGTTACACCAACAAGTTCTGAATTAAGCCTCTGAGAATCCAGCCATACCAATGATGAAGAATTCAGATCTAATCTTCCATGTGTATAGCTTTTAACTCTTCATCATAAACATATGAATTGAGAGGTAAGTGGTTTATTAAATCATGATCTGTGATACTTTATTAAAAGAGGCAGGTAAGTCTGTACAAATGAGCCATGTTGCAGAGTTCAGATTTCAATTGTAAAAAAGATAACTGCCCTCTCAGGTTGAAATGTGTTCCAAACCTGAACAAACCAGAGTGAAGAAGATTTCCTAAGCAGACTGAAATCTTGGGACAGAAAGTACAATATTTATCTGGCAATGAACTCATGCCTGGCAATAAGCCCACTCATTGCAATTCAATAGAAAATGCCAACAAATGCTCTTTCATTGTCCTTTTTTAGGCTCATTTACCACTCTAAGTCAAACCCTTGGGCTTTTAGCAGGATAAACATGGTAACAGACAAATGAAACTATATAGGTAAGAAAAAATGGGCCAGTTAAGAATGGAGACCAGGGTCTTAACAGCTTAGCTAGGTGTATGACCCCTAACGTATGCCACTGCAGTGAACAAAGGGAAGTAACTCCTGCTGTTCTTGTGTCACCAGTGACCAAGCTCACCACATAAACAGTGACTCAATAACTTCCATTACCCATCATGCAAAATTAATTCTTCAGTGATGTTTGAAAATAACGTCCAAAGGTTTTTGGATTGTTCTGATCTCAATATGCAAGAGGAATATGCTAAAATACCTTTAATAGGCACAAAACTTCCGGTCTATGAATTATTTATGTCACATGAAGAAAGCATCTAACTTGAGTAAGTCCATTTAACAAGTTCACAGGACACATGGTTCCACCTATTGTCTTTAACATATTAACCAATCACCACCAGGAAGGCGACCTTTTTGCTCTGGTAGCATCCATCTGATGTCTTAAATCCTTTACGGTATACACAACAGCTGTCACCAATCTGAGAATTGGTTTGTTTGGGATTTAACATCCTGGCACTGTATATACATATTTGCCTGATGTGAGTTCCGCCCTTCCCACGTAATTACAAAACAGGGTATTCTGTGAACAAATTTTCGCTGTCATGATAAATTTGCCCTTACTGTGCACGAGGAAGGGCGAAAAGTTAAACTGCTGTGAAAATTTCCCAGTTTACATTATTATTACTCTCAGCTTTTAAAATACTAATAAGATATTTTTTAAATATTGAAACTAAAAATAAGTAAAATATATCATGATAAACAGACCTATCCCATAGAGGAGGAGTAATAGAATCTTTCACCCCCTTGGGGGTGAGACAGGGGGATCTCAACCCGAGGGGTAATATTCTTAAGTTGCCAAACACAAGGCTTGACGTCATGGTATTGTTGTTCTTGACAGCTTAAGAATCTTACCCCGAGGGTTGAGATCCCCCGTCTCACTCCCAAGGGGGTGAATGATTATTTTTCTCTTACCCTGTTTACCCTCTTATCTAAATATTGCCGTTACATCAATGCAAGACAATGTTGATATGATGCGATTGCATTGTTGACATGACGTTATTTTATTGTTGCCGTGACATCATGGTATTGTTGCTTTGACGTCATAGAATTGTTGAGAACGTGCGAAGAGCATGTGTAGCTTGCTAGGGTGAGATAAGAAAATTTCACACCGGTAAAATGGTGGATATCCCTGTCCAGGGTAAGATAAAGATTAATCCCTGTAACCCTCTTCATATTGAAACCTGTGTAAACCAGACCTTTCACTATGCCTCACTGTATACATTTCTATGTAAACTGAACCTGTGAATACAGGACACCTGTATAAACCAGACCTTTTACTATGCCTCACTGTTTAAATTTCGATGTAAACTGAACCTGTGTAATCTGGATATCTGTATAAACAAGACCTTTTACTAGGTCCCACTGTATACATTTCTATGTAAACTGAAACTTTGTAATCCGAAAACCTGTTTAAACCAGACCAACAATATAAAGTGAAATTGTAGTATGCTTACTAACCTGTACACCGGGAAACCTTGTCCGCACTTTGTGAAGGTGTTTTACGATATCGTCAAATTCTATAAACTTGAAGAGGATGTGTGTTATTGCGGCGGCAGCTTGCATGCCCCAGTTCCTGTCCAGCCCCTCAAGGGACTTGGCCCCGTACAGAGTCAGCGTTTCCCCTTCTAGGTCAGCCAAGTTGTTTAATCCTCCAGCCTGAGTTGTGTCCCCTTGCCTGGTTGGAAAATAAGACAAAATCAGTCAGTATTACCAAATTACGTAGCTGTTGATAGGGTAACACACAGGGAAACATTTATGAGAGAATATTTTCATGATAGCTACACTGGAAAAGTTTGCTCAGCTGATCATATTACAAACATGAACTTGTGTGGAGCTCACCAAATTGCATTGTACATTGAAAACTTTCAGCGTTTGAATCACAAATTTTATGGAAATTGGTTAAATAATGAACCACTGAAAAACAAATTATCAAGAATTTGTAACCATATGTATTGTATATCAGCAAAGTTTTAATAACAGAGCACGCTCAGATTTATCTTAAAATTTCATAATATCAAGTTTTATTTTTTTCCAAAACTATTACCTCTTATAAATGGAACTAGGCTGAATTTATACGATTCAAATGACAAAATGTCAAAAGATACAAAACTGTACATAGCAATTAACAACCTTTTAAGAATCAACATCATGTAAAATGTTTGGTTGTTTTTAATTTTTATGGTTGTTGGCGAACATTCAGAACATTGCTCTGCTTTCATAAACAATCTTCCACACAATCCTAAAGGTCCGCTCACACTGTCATTGTCTTTTCTGGTGTTGAGTATGATTCGAACACATATCTCTGCATTTCGAAGAGATATCTCTTCATATCGCTAGCACTCGGCAAACTGCAGCCAGAATTTTAAACAGTTTAAAATGGTATATAGATTTTTTGTCTCGTACATATGTGGACGTACCCGAATATAATGGTCTCCTTGAGTTGCCCACACTTCTGAGGTTCAAGCTTCTTGACACTGTTGGCACTGTTTGTACTGGTGCGAGGTCGGTCCTTGTTGCCCTCCATGCCATCGTTGATGTTGCTACTCTGGGCACTACTGGGCCGACTACCACCTCTACTGCTGTACTTTTCGCTGGAGTGGAAAGGAACACAACAGCTAATGCAATGTGATTGACAAGCGTTCACGTCATCAAAGGCAACCAGGAAATCAACCATGCATGTACATAATCATATATCTTAAAACCTAAGAATTCCAGATACGGGAAGTCAAATTTGCCAGTGACACTGTCAACTCTTTACGTCCTGCTGATTTTTAAGAAATTATCTTGCTCATTCTTCCCTCTGCTGTAGCTGCCGTTGTTACTTTCTGCTGATTCTGAACATAAAGAAGAAATTGGCTTGCTTATGCCATCTCCTTCCCCGACTTCATTTCAAAGCTGATTGGCTGTCTGATTCTCCCCACCCCCCTTGCTAATTTATTGGCTAACTCACCTATGTACTGATTCAAGGTCGAGGTTTTCCTCACTGAAGGTCATGGGTTGGACAAGATCGGAATTGGGCACAGACCCGACATGGTTGGCGTAGATATCTGGCATTTTGACGAGCTTGCCAGTCCTGTTCATCATCGTACCTTGCATCACCTCCCATTGTCGTTTAGCGTTGTTAATGGCGATTCTCTTCTTCTCCTTTAAACGATGAAACACGTGACAGCTTAATTTTGGTCTAAATATGAAACTGTGGACTACTAGGTTTAATTCAGAATAAAAAATATTGAAATTTTGTTGATATTCTTTAATAAAGCAGATTTTTTTTTGCAATTACTGAGATCAATTTCTTATTTAATAAAAGGAATAAATGTATTCATTCTTTTCTTTCATTTTTTCTCTTTCAAATTATGGGCTTACCTCTTTGACCAAATAAGCAAATAGCGGAAAACAGCAGGTTACATTTATGTTTTGAATTTTCTGTGGATAACTGGGAAATGCTTAGCTCAAAGTAAAAGACCATTTTTTTTAAACAATATTGTATTTACAAATATGCTGTATATAATATATAATTTTACATAATGTAATATTAGGGATCTGGCAACAAGAGTAAGCTCTTATATTAAGCCATCTCCCAAACATACTTAAAGTTTACAGGGGATTGAAAGTCATCAGTCACACACTATGTCTACATATATAGCCATAACTTACTGCAATATTTAGTTTTTTTACAGTATCATTATAATAAGCTAATGTTAAAACAATGTTTAGCAACATTTCCGGTATGACTTTGACGAAAAAATAAAGAGTCCATCACTATGGAAGTATTACCTAGCTTAAGACTAATGGGAAATTCACTCACAGGTATAACATTTTCGAGTCAGAACCTCACCAAGCTTCTGTTCAGACCCCATAATTTTCTTATTCTCCATATCTACATATGATAGTCTCTATTAACCTAATTTTGAGCTGAAGTAAGCTTAAGATTAATGAAGTCTATTGCATCATTTAAATGTAGAAGTTATTTATACTCAGATCAAGAGAAATAGAATCTTTTCAGGTAAGATTACTACAATAGATAAAACTTAATTCCTTGCTATTTTAATTTCAGACTTAAAAATCATTTTATATTTTGGATTATAGCAACTAATTGATAAAATTTTGTTAAAACACGATTTTTAAACAACCATAATTCTTTTAATAATACAACAAATTATCACAGTCAAAGGGAAATAACTCTAGGGAAATATCCTACCAAAACAACAGATTTTTTTTAATTTCAATATATTTTAAATCAGACACAATATTACATTAGTATAATTGAAAGTTAATAAAAAAATAATCTAGGTAATAGCTAATTTCATCTATTCTCTACCTATAATTTGTTAGAATGTGATTACCACAAAATATAAAACACTCTAAATTCAGAATTCATAAATGTTAAATTCTATATAAATCTAACAAATAATTGTTATAAAACTATAGATATAAAACAGGAAATGCAATAAGAAATACTTCAGTTTGATTAAAACATTGAAATGGAAAAAAAGAGTAGCTTAAATAAATTAGAATTTGCTTACAATGGACAATGAAAGATTCTACTAAAAGCTGTTACCATAAAAATCTAATTTGTTTAAAAAGATGTCAGGTAAAAAATACTATACAGATGATTGCTGTCAAAATGTTACTTTAAAAAAAGTTAAGTTGTAAATGTGTCCTGATCTGTTACCGTTTGTTTGACTCTAGAACAGTAGAACCTCGTTAGTTTAGAGTCTTAGACACAAATCAATTAGTACAGTCATTAAAATGTTTACTTCTAGTTAATGCATTTGAAATGTCCGAATACATTGTCTGGTGAGACTAAAAATGAACTTAAAGGGGCCCATTAAACTAATGAAAATACGACAACGAAGTTTGGCTGTTCCATCATTAGTGTTACGGTCTAACCACACCATGCAGAAGAGCTGAGGCGGCCATGCTTGTTACGGATGCTGCGAGATCCGGCAGGCTGTGCCTGAATCGTAAGTGTATGCCTACCGTGATAGGAGGAGCACTCTGCACTATTGGTGAGGAAACTACCTTCAACACAGCTGCCTTGCTCCCCTCACGTTTCTTCTCCTCTTCCTTCCGCGCCATCACCAACGCTATCCGACGCTCCTCCTCCTGAAAATCACAAATTATTTTTGCTAATTGATGTCATTTTACCTGCACATCTGATTTTACTCATTCACCCCTGAAGACACATTTGAACTCTTCCAATTCAAAGGTTGGAATAGTGCATTATGAAGTTTCAGGGGTGAATGCATTAAATCTTTATCACACAAAAAAATAAAAAATCCAATCCTGTGTCATTTTGTCACATTCTTATTCATATCTAATAATATTATAGCGAGATAATTTTCACAAACATCTTCAAGACTCGCACACAGAGAATGTCTTTGTAACTTGATTTTATATCCATATGTTAATTCCTATACATCAGCAAAACTGTTCATGATATATGTCCATTTTTGTTGTTCGTAAAGAATCGATGCCTACCCGTTTACACTGTATATTCAAAAGGTGCTTCCCCTTGAGATTGCGCTGTAACATGAAGGATATGTAATCCAAGCTCTGGGGATTTATATAGCTCATCAGATTTACCGTAACACAAATCTGTTTTAATCCAAAAGTCAAAAAATATATCCAGATTTAACAAAATAGTCACCAAGACTAAATTTTGTATCACATTCATCGTGATAAATTCATCACATTGAGGGGTCTAAGCACAACATAAATATTAAATATTTCCCAGAATTCTGACACATGTTGTGTAGTCGGACAGCCGTGGAATAACGTGGGGTCCATATTCAGAGATATCGGCATTCTATGAGGGACTATATGTATACCGACGACTCGAGTGATCTAGTATTACAGTTTCAGGTGACATCGGACGATCGTTAACCCACTAAAACACGAGTCGATAGCTCAACAATAATACGGACATTTAATAGGTAGAACACAATACACATTATACATGGAGGAACAGGCCGACACAGCCGCGTATAAATACATAATTTTAACATTAAAGTATTGTAGAAAGAACTGTCCCAACAATTAGGCATACAGATATATTTTCAGAGGCTTAAAACCAATTGACTACATTAATATTAATGCTACCTTGATAATCCTTGGCCTAATATTGCTAAAGCTTAACAGCTGTCCTTCAATATGCCAATTCATATACAATAATAATAAAACATTAAACAACTTGCTCCTGATAATTTCGCTTTATTTATGTTCGGTAAAAATCAGACCATGATCTCAATATGATCCCAATTTACAGTTTTTAAAATTGATTCATTTATAAAAAAAAATATGGTATAGCCTTTAATTCACATCTCGAAATTCATGTTGTTCTTAAGAAGATGTTTTCTTTCAAATTTTTGAACTTGAACCAAAAATTATTCACTTCATACCACACCTGCACTCCAAGCATAAAGAACTTTGGAAGGGGCTGTTTGAAGATTTATATTCAAAACAGATTACTCTGTCCCCTAATGACAAAATGGAATGTTACCTACAGTTAAATCCATTTAATATGAACCTACTTATTACAAATATTACAAATTCTTGCTATAATGAGATTTCATCCGATTCCCATAAACATGAAACTCTTTAACCGTTTCACCCCTATGTGACTTTAGTAGACTCTACCCTGCATTGATCTGGATGAATCCATTATGGTCTACAGTAGTGAAAAGGTTAAGGAATCCAATGTCTTAGGAGTTTTGTTTAAACATGCATTTTGTATACATTCATAAAATAAATAAATTTCTGGACACATCAATATACACAGCAGATCACTAAAAACAAAGCCGTTATTCTGTATACGTACATCACACAGGAAAGGCTATTGTATGTAGTATGGCCGTCAGAATCAAACAAAAAATTCTTTTCAAATAAAATCTGTAGGCCTTACCCTGGAAACTTATCATAAAACATAACATCAAAATATTCTTCGTTTTTAAATCAATAGATGACATTTAATTGAAATATTTGCATATTGTGCGCACTCATGTTTAATGGGCAGGTACATTTTTGGGAAAATTAAAAATATTTATGGAGTTTTTCTTCTTGAAAAAACTGTCAAGCTGGACGGATACCACCAACCAATAATAGGATATCTTAAAGAACTTGATATAAATATTTTCATTATTACTTCCTAAAATCAATTGATATCACACTTATGAAATGATTTCATATATCTGGAATACAATATACCGGTACAAAACAATTGTTGATGATGTTTTACGAATGTGACCAGGGTAAGTCCTTCAGACAGTATAAGCCATACATGTTATAGCTGTCGTACAAAACATCTGTGAGTCACAGATCACGATTGAAATGCATCGCAAATAAATATATACATACATAATGTGTTTATATAATACTGTATGTAATGTATAACACTATATAATGAGAATGTGACGTGGGTAGGATCTTGGGGTGTATTTCTAATTCATTGAGTGGTATTTCTTTTTAAGTGATAATAAGGGTAGGGCTTTAAAAACAATGATACCCAAGGGAATAAGAATGTTAATAAAAGGGACAAATACAGCTCCAAATTTTTAACTGAAATACAAGTTAAATCCATATTCAAAGAGAAATTAAAAAAAAAATATAACACTGTTTTCAATATATTTGAAAACTAAGTTTCATGTATGGTAATTTGGACAAAGGAAAACCTCTAAATCTGTTCAAAAATCAAAAATGAAAATACAGCCATTTGTAATTTCTAGTCTTCAGGAATATGGTTTTCTCATTTTTTTCTCATTTCAAAAACTCCTTTTGTCATGCATGTAAAAAAAAAATTAAACAAACATTTAGTCAAATATTAATGCTGAACAGTAAGATAGAGTTGTTACTACAATCAACAGTTAAGGATCCCTGTCCCACTGCGCTGTGATATTCCCTATAACTCCCCTTAACCTCCGTTTGGATATAACTGTAGCACACCTAGGCTAGTACACTTCCATCAGCCAGGAGGCCCAATCAGTTAGAACCAGTCAGCAGTCTGAAGTTCAGGGTTCAGATCCAGGTCTAGCCCCTTGGTGATTTTTTACAGTCAGAAGAACACTGTTGTTGATTATATTTCATTCAAATTCATCTTTATAACCTCTTATAAAAGTCCTGCAAGGCATGTTTCCTTTTCTTAGAAAATGATTTATCAAAGATGAAGAAGTCATGCTGGAAAAAAACCCAGTTTCCGATACTTAGTTACAGTTTTTGATACTTAGTTACAGTTTCCAATTCTTAGTTACAGTTTCCGATACTTAGTGACAGTTTTTGATACTTAGTTAACGTTTTTGATACTTAGTTACATTTTTTGATACTTAGTTACAGGTTTTGATACTTAGTTACAGGTTTTGATACTTAGTTACAGGTTTTGATACTTAGTTACAGGTTTTGATACTTAGTTACAGTTTCAGATACTTAGTTACAGTTTCTGATACTTAGTTACAGTTTCTGATACTTAGTTACAGTTTTTGATGCTTAGTTACAGTTTTTGATACAGTTTTTGATACTTAGCTACAGTTTCCGATACTTAGTGACAGTTTTTGATACTTAGTTAACGTTTTTGATACTTAGTTAACGTTTTTGATACTTAGTTAACGTTTTTGATACTTAGTTACATTTTTTGATACTTAGTTACATTTTTTGATACTTAGTTACAGGTTTTGATACTTAGTTACAGGTTTTGATACTTAGTTACAGGTTTTGATACTTAGTTACAGGTTTTGATACTTAGTTACAGGTTTTGATACTTAGTTACAGTTTTTTATACTTAGTTACAGTTTTTTATACTTAGTTACAGTTTTTGATTCTTAGTTACAGTTTCCGATATTAGTTACAGTTTTTGATATTTAGTTACAGTTTCCGATACTTAGGTACAGTTTTTGATACTTAGCTACAGTTTCCGATACTTAGGTACAGTTTTTGATACTTAGTTACGGTTTTCGATACTTAGTTACAGTTTTGATACTTAGTTACAGGTTTTGATACTTAGTTACAGGTTTTGATACTTAGTTACAGTTTTAGATACTTAGTTACAGTTTCCGATACTTAATTAGTTACAGTTTTTGATATTTAGTTACAGTTTCCGATACTTAGTGACAGTTTTTGATACTTAGTTCCAGTTTCTAATACTTAGTTAAAGTTTCCGATACTTAGTTAGTTACAGTGTTTGATACTTAGTTACAGTTTCCGATATCAGTTACAGTTTTTGATACTAAGTTACAGTTTTTGATACTGAGTTACAGTTTTTGATACTAAGTTACAGTTTTTGATACTGAGTTACAGTTTTTGATACTAAGTTACAGTTTTTGATACTTAGCTACAGTTTCCGATACTTAGTTTCAGTTTTTGATACTTAGTTCCAGTTTCTAATACTTAGTTAAAGTTTCCGATACTTAGTTAGTTACAGTTTTTGATTCTTAGTTACAGTTTCCGATACTTAGCTACAGTTTTTGATACTTAGTTCCAGTTTCTAATACTTAGTTAAAGTTTCCGATACTTAGTTAGTTACAGTTTTTGATACTTAGTTACAGTTTTTGATACTTAGTTACAGTTTTCGATACTTAGTTACAGTTTTTGGCAGTGGTGCAGGGATCCCTAAGCTGAAGGTGAGTTAGATTATCCACAGCAATACCAGCCATAGGAGTATGTATATATATACTACCCGTCCCCTGAGGGGAAGGATGCTGCCCATAGGGGCCGTGGGATAGGGGACAGAGTACAAGGGTTCGGGGTGGTGGTAGCCGCTGGGAATCACGGCGTTTGTTACTACCTTTGGAAACACGTTATAGGACGCCTGTGGGATAGAGTAAACACACATGTAGCAGATGGGAACTGTTATTATTCTCTGACAGTTACAATGAAAGTCATTTAAAGAGATCATCAGTAAAACCTGTCTAGGCTGACCAACCATAAAACCTGTCTAAACTGACTGTCAGTAAAACCTGTCTGAAATTACCATAAGTAAAATCTGTCTAAGCTGACCATCAGTCAAACTTGTTTAAACTGACCATCAACAAACCCTCTCAAGACTGACCATCAAAAGCAAGTATATTCTTATCTACATTACAGGTGAATACAGATTCTCTTTACAGACTGGATCCTACAGATGAAGGCATGGTTTATATAGGTTCTGATAGTACAGGGTTTGATTTGGACAGGATACAAAGTGAGTGTCATTTTTTAGAAATTATAATAAAGCAACTATTTCTCGCTTGCAATCCAACAAAGCATCAATAGAAAATAATTATCAGCTTAGTAAACATGAACTATCAAAAGTGTCATACTATTCATTAAACACTTCTTAGTTACTTCCCTTTGTTTTATACCGAATGACAGAAATACAAGGTTACTATTTGTCACCAAAAAATCTTTAAATGTTTATTTCTTTTTTCTTATATACTTGAGATAACCTTGAAAGATAAAATTTAATAAGACATGGTCAACAGTAAATTAAAAACAATACTCAAAAATAAGATTGATTAGACCTTTGACCCTAGCTGCGACCGCGACTTTGATGGTGTAGACCTCAGAGCAGTATATCTGTCTGCTCACAGGGTCATCTACGATGTATCTATCAGGGTCATCTACGATGTATCTATCAGGGTCATCTACGATGTATCTATCAGGGTCATCTACGATGTATCTATCAGGGTCATCTATGATGTATCTATCAGGGTTTTATAAAGAAAAGGTTAAGCCAATGGATAAGCATTACAATAACTTGACCTTAAACCCTTTACTTTAACCTCGACATTTGAGACATTGACCTTAGATTCATCACAGCAAGAGGCCCAATGGGCCTGCATCGCTCACCTGGTATTAATCTCACACTTACAGCTACAGGCAGAATATCAGTGTGACCCTGAATGTCAAACAATGACATTAGGTTGAAAGTGGGTCAAGGTCATTCATTTGAACAAATTTGGTAGCCCTGATTGCTACAGGCCAAATATCAGTAACCTGGGCCTTTTGGTAATTGAGAAGAAGTTGTTTGAAGATTTTAAGACATTTGACCCCTGTGACATTGAAAATGGATAAAGGTCATTTATTTAAACAAACTTGGTAGCCCTTTATCCCAGCATGTTACAGGCCAGATCGCATCACCCTAGGCCTCTTGGTTATTCAGAAGAAGTTGTTGAAAAGTTTTAAACATATTTGACCCATGTGACCTTGTATATAAATCAAGGTCATTTATTTGAACAAAATTTGTAGCCCTTCATCCCACCATGTTACTGGCCAAATATCATCACCCTATGCCTCTTGGTTATTCAGAAGAAGTTGTTTAAAGAATTTAACGTATTTGACCCCTGTGACCTTGAAAATGGATGAAGGTCATTTATTTCAACAAACTTGGTAGCCCTTCATCCCAGCATGCTTCTGGCCAAATATCATCACCCTAGGCCTCTTGGTTATTCAGAAGAAGTTGTTGAAANCCCCTGTGACCTTGAATATAAGTCAAGGTCATTTATTTGAACAAACTTGGTAGCCCTTCATCCCAGCATGCTTCTGGCCAAATATCATCACCCTCGGCCTTTTGGTTACTGAGAGGAAGTTGTTTAAAGTAAAATGTTGACGACGGACGGACGACAGACAGACGATGGACAGACGATGGACGCCGCACCATGCCATAAGCTCACTTGGCCCTTTGGCCCAGGTGAGCTAATAAAATCATGATACAAATATAAATGACATTTATTGACCTCTCTTCATTTGATCCGAAGGTGTGGTCGTTGACATTTACTATCTGATACACCTATTGCTCTAGCCAATCAATATGATCCAGGAGTCGACACTAACACTAGTCTGCGAGTCCTGGACTAGTAGATTTCAGCAAGGACTAGTAAATCACCTTACCTAACTGGTCCTAAAATAAGAATACTCCTTTTTAAAATTTAGAAAACTGCTTAAAATAAGATATACTGCATGATAATTGTCAAAATTTTCCTAAAACTTCACCATATTTTTATGGCAGTAGTTATTTTAAGTCCCTGGGACTGTCCCCAACTTTTGATGTTTTGTGCTATAGATCGCGATGTTCCTTATCAGGAAATCTTGGGACTAGTTACATTGAAGAAGGACTAGTAAATAATCTATTCAACTAGTTCTGTGGACTACCAAGCAAAAAAAGTTAGTGTCTAACCCTGATGATGCCATCAAAATTCTAGCTTTTTGAGAACATATGAGAGCATTTGATGAAACACAACCAGAACGTGACCCCAGATGCAATGTTGTCTACCATATTACAAAGGAACAGAGAGAAGATTCAATTTAATTCAGATCGAACAACTCAGTGCTAACAGACAGACGTCCAACTCCATACCGTAGCAAATACATCCTGTTAAACGAACACAAAAACTGTCTGTCCAACAATAAGCCCATGCCTGGTAGTAAGCCTGCGTATCTTAAATACAGTTCAGTAGAAATGATAACAAATGCTATTTCATTTTGCTGCAATAAGCAATAGCCTTACTTTAAGTCGAGAGCTTATGTGCTGGACCCCTGGCCTTACTGCAGGATAAACCTAGTATACTGTTACCAGAATTCCAAAATGAAGTTTACACCTTTCCATACTGCTAAAATAAGGCTATACCAACCCATAAATCAAAGCTTATTGATGACATGTTATAATGTACTAGAATTAATATAAAATATTTGCGGTTAATAAATTACTAAACTAAACTAAAGTTACACCAATTCCGATAAACTCACCGCTACCTTGTTATATAATTAATGTCTATACTACACCAACACCTTAACACAACAGCTACAAGCTTCTGTCAGATAAAGATCTACACTTAATATTGTTTTATAAAAACACAAGTATTCTACATCACTTTTTGTTCAGGTGAAAATGGATGCTGATGTACTGATGCAATGCTCAATAGCCTTTCCTTATGACAATAAAATACACTTCATGAGCTATGTTCTTTAACTAGGATTCATTAACTATATCTGTAAATTCAGCAGACCTTTATCAATACATAACCTTTTGTGTATCTTTTAAATTTATCATTGATTTAATTATCATGTCCAACAGTGTTTTTATGGCTTTCTTATAGTGTGGAACTCTTTTTGAATGGCGTTTCCTTTCAAAGCAAGGTAGCATATACTCTTAAGTCTGTACCCAACAGTAGACAACATCTCAAAGTCTATGACCTGTGCATATTATTTTTTTCTTTTTATCTAAATGGATTTATGATGTAAGTCTAAGAGAACATGTCACTAAACAGGGTAAAAGAATGTTTTTCTTTACTTCAAAATACAGAGTGTTCGGAGACTAAAACATTTGACTGACCGTGACTCGCTTCATGTCGAGCTGTTTGAGCTGCTGCATGTGTCGGAGGACGATCTGTTTGTAGTACTGTTCCTGGGTGATAGGGTTGCCATCCAGAGTAATCTCCGACAGACTGTTGGAGTCGCCCAGACATGCGATGTCCTCGAAACTGTAAAAAAAATAAAAATATATATTTATAATATATTCCTGATGTTTTTAACAAGAACATCTTATACTATGGAAGTCAAGCAGTGAGGGAATTCCCTTCTGTAAATCAGAACTGTTATACTGTATCCATGCTGAAATAAACCTCCTTACCTTTGCCAAAAACTGTCAGTAATTGTTGGAAACTTTTTTACGGCATGACTATAGTTTTAATATATCAATTATGAAAAGAAGAAAAAAACACCTTGCAGGATTTTTCTGAGAAATATATAAAGATGAATCAAACAAAATGTAATCAACGACAGCGTTTAGAAATCAGTGGCAATATCGTTCTAATCAATTCAGCTACCTGGTCAACGTAAGTGTCCTGGCCCAACAGTGCTGCAACTGATGTTGAAACAGAAGTTAAGGGGAGGTAATTGTACATCGAAGAAAACCACAGTGCAGTGGGATAGGGATCCATATATATAATCGGAATCAACCAGAGATGACATTTTGTTGCTGTTCCTGAAAATGTGCTGAACGTCCAATGTTGTTGGAGTTGTCAGTTTATAAGAAATATGACGTTCTCCAAACTGTAGCTGTAGAGGTGATGTTTCTTATGTATTACCGATCTCATATCAATATCTCTGAACATATTCTTCAGGTTGGTAAGTATGGATTATGAAAAGTTAAAGTTCTTTTTACACAACCAATAAGTGGTTCTATGTGACATTTCGATGACTAGTACGGTATGTACACTGTCACCTTCATGAGACAAATGACCAGTGAAGCTTTGCACACAAAGGTGTAAAAATATGTATGAGTTGTCCACAAAATCATTGGCTGTAGGCGTATGTACAATAGTTGTTACCTCGGTCACTTGTCTGATGAAGGTGACAGTGTACATACCGTACTAGACATCCAAACGTCACATAGTAACTCTTATTGGTTGTGTAGAAAGAACTTGTCATAATCAAATCAGTCTCCCTGATGCACACAAATCTATCTTATGCTGAAGAATCCAACAAAGTTTTGAAAGAAAGAAGGCCATTTGGATGGAGGGTGTTTGGGAAACGGGGAGCTTATATCATTAAAATACATTTTCAAAACTGCAACCTGATGGCAGCCATATTGGATTGTAAATTGGCTCAAAAACAAACAATTCTTCAGTACTATTCAATTTATCATTTCAATGTGTCAGTAAAACTGGTTCAATTGAACTTAAGTTTATGTTAAAATGTAAAATGTTAATGGATGACGCCCAATGGACAACGCCTGATGAACAACAGGTAATTGATAGCAAAAGCTCACATGAAAGAACCCTAAAAACTAAATAAAGAATCCCTCGATCATCACATACATCTTAAAGTCAGAGAAAAGATTTTATAAAGACAGAAATTATGAAAGACCCTGTGTAACTTACTATTCTGATGGTTGACAGTCCTTCAACCTGTGTCGATATTTTCTGTAGTGCCACATAATTCTCCTCTGTTATAAATCCAATTTATCTCACAGAACCGAAACTGTTTCTGACACCATATATAACTCGGCAGTATTAGCAGTCAAGTTTTCAGAAAGTGCATCATTAATCCCAATATATTTGCCACATGTAAGCACCTTACTAGGGAAGTCACAATGCAAATTTCAGTTTCTGATTCTGCTGCATATCAATGTAACAATTCTGTTGCCGCATGATTTTTTTTAAAATTTCAATGTGTGTGTGTCACTGACAGGGAAGTAATCCCAGTAAACATGTCTAAAATCAATTTTTATACGCAATGTAAATTATAAAAAGAAAATTAAAAAAATTGGTTGTTCCTACTTCAAAATCACAACAGGATAGAATCGATGCTGTGCGTTTCAATGTCTCACCACAGTAAATATATATCCATGTTCTACCTTAAAAAAATCATGACATATACTGTATGCTGAGCATAAGACTGTCCACTTCCAGTAGGTTAAAGTATCAAGCTGTTTGGTGGTAAATACAACACTAAAAACTCTATTATATACACCTGTTTATTTATAAACAGTCACAAACGGTCTGAAACACGAAAAGAGAAGTCAAAGCGTTTTCATTGCAGTGAGCTTTCCCTATCTATCTTCACATCTTGTATACAACTCCTGATTTCTTTGTGAAAAAAAAGACTTTCTAAAGGTCTAGGTGTGATATGGCGACTCAACAACATTACACGAGATCTCCATATGTTGATTGAACGGCACATGCTGTTAGATCCTTGCATTCACTTAACATTTCCAATTCACTCAAGAAAGTCCTGTACGCATAAAATACGCATTTCCCTCAAACGGCTGGATTAGAATCCAAAAGGCTGTACTTCGTACTGAAATACAGGTCGGAAATATTTTGAAGTGTTTGAATTAGTTTTAAGAATATTTACACAAATGCCAAAGTCAATCCCTTACCACTGAATGATTAACTTGCCATGCAGTATCGTATCATGTCATATCCTCGCTGTGGTTTAAATAGTGGAAGAGCTTATGTCACTTTTCATAACTATATTGTCAATATTCATATGGACTTGTATATCAAACTTCAAGCTGTCAAAACAGATTTCCTTAGAAAGGAAGAAATGCAATATTTCAGTCAATCAATATTGAACAGAAAAAATCCCTAACACTGTTCTGAAACTCCTCAATCCAAAATGTTGTTACAAATATCACGCAAATGTTCAATTTGTGTATTAATTCTTAGAAGACGAAAATGTTGTAATAACTACAATAACAATTTAACACTCTCCATCAGGTACTGCTGTCATTAGTTATAAATAATTTATCTGTATCCGCAAGATATAACGATAAAACATTCAACCCAAATCTGTAACTCAAGGTATAGAAATAAGTTTACCTGACAAACAGGATTACTCATAAGACTGGTCTCAAATGCCACATTGTTTTAAATAAGATACAGGATTTTAAAAGCACTTTTTGATCCCAGACGTCAATCTCCTTGACAATTTTCCTTTATCCCCCACAAATATCTTTGGACACATAAATCCTATTTGTCTGTCACTTAGGGCGGCCCTGGTTTCATAAATAATGTCGGTCTGAAAACTGTTGTGTCAACACTGAATGATCTATAAAAAACAAAGAGAAACTAGATTCAATGACACATGTTTCCTTATTTGAATGCTTCCTGTTTGTAGAAACATTTGGTTGACATTTTGATAATAAAAATGTCTTTACTAAAGATAATTGTCACAATTATTTTACAATTATTACAAAGCACCACGAAAGTTGTGTAAAAGTCATTATAACACAATAACTTCGGCCCAGCGTTACAAGTGTCGTGGTTAAAAGTAACCCACTTCTTGTCCTGTTTCAATTTTACGGAAACAATAAAGACAGAAACATCTATGTTTTTTGTAGAATTTCCTCAATTTGTGGTCATGAAACAGACCACATCAACTAAACTGTTCTTTGCACTTTTGTTCTGACATCTTTAAGAACACTGTAATTATTAGAAACACTGTATGTGTCCACAAAAACTGTCGCAATATTGAACCGTTCCCTGATATTTACAGTCGACAACCGTATACACCAATTGGTATCCTAGATTACAGATCACAGAAGAATGAAGGGACGAAAAAGGAGCATGGCGTCTGATTCCGTGCCAAAATCAATGCTGAATCGCTCAAAAAGCCTGTATGTTGTTTTATGTTATAGCCTGTCTTTGTAGCGAAGTTGAACATTTAATATCCATATTCTGAATAAACTCTCTTCAATACAGGCCAGGTGAATTAATTATGTATGGCCAAACACAGAACTTTCAATCAGCCTCTCAGTAGTGAGAACTTCAAACAACGTCCAGTACTTAAATTCACCTCCACTGTCACTATTAACTGGAGTTTGAGTGTTAAAGCCGATAGTCTTATTGACAAGTCCTTGGTACACTTCTGGTTTAAAAGCATAATTTTCAATAACTATTTTAAGCTTCGAGATTTTTTTCCTTTGACAACTTCCACTTAAACAGTTCCCCTGTTTCAAGTGGAACTCGGATTAACTGTCGACCGAAAGCGATCCAGTATTTCATCACACTGCAGTTCATAAGTCTATCTTGTTATTATTTAGAATTTCTGTTTAAGTAAATATTTCACACGCAGCAGGTAATCTATAGCCATGTTGACCTTACGGATGGTCAAGTGTCCAATAGAAATGCAGATAGACACAAGTGTCCGCTATTACTGTCCGAGACAGACATAAAGTGTCCACTTTAGTCCGTATAGAGCAGCCTAAACAAACACTATATTCAATGGCAGTGTTTAAGTCCATCTCTAAAAAACACAAGAGAACGTGAAAATGACCCAAAGGCCGATCCTTGTGTACAGTCGAAGTTACAATTGTTTGTTGTTTAAGCCCGGCCCATTCCTTAGCCCAATACTGTTGTATAATCATGACACTTGCTCAATTTGAGCTTAAATCTACACATAACGGCTATATATCTATATCAAGTCAATTATATCTCTAAAACATGGAGAGGTAGATATTACTTAAGTAATTTAAATATCATAACGACGTCTTCAAATAATTCTGTCTATTATCATTTTAATGTATTTATCAACCTGACTTTGGAAAGTACCTTTGCAGTATATCGTCATTCGAATCATTATATATATACTCGTATCATTATATTTCAACTCGTATAATTTTCATTAAATAATATTATAAGGGGATTGACAGCAAAATGAAGTTATTGACAGCTTGTAAATGACATGAATAAGAATCACCTATCTTTTATATAAAAATTCTTTAATAAGATTTATGTCTTGGGAGTAATTGCATTTGGAATTTCGATTTTTTAAACGTCTGTCATTTGCTATCATGTCTTACAGCACAAAGCGATAGCTTATTAAGTGAATAAAGGCTAAAAAAAAATTGAAAGTGAAGAATTTCAAATGACACTTATTATACTTTAATGAGGTCCATATAGAGGTTTAATAACCACTCTCCAAAGCCGTGTTATTGACCTAGGAATATCATTCCATGAACCAGGCTGATCAAAGT